GATCAAGCTATTTTCTAAAGCACCTGTAGGCCAGACAAGGAACAATGGATGGAAACTGAACAAGGAGAGATTTAACCTGAAAATAAGGAGAAATTTTCTGACAGTGAGAACAATCAACCAATGGAACAGTTTGCCCTGGGAAGTTGTGGGAGTGTCATCACTTGAGACTGTCAAGAAGAGATTGGACTGCCATCTGTCAGAAATGGTATAGGGTCTCCTGCTTGGGCAGGGGATTGGACTAGATGACCTACAAGATCCCTTCCAACTCTGATTATCTGGAAAGAAAGAAAGAAAGAAAGAAAGAAAGAAAGAAAGAAAGAAAGAAAGAAAGAAAGAAAGAAAGAAAGAAAGAAAGAAAGAGAGAAAGAAAGAAAGAGAGAGAGAAAGAAAGAAAGAGAGAAAGAAAGAAAGAAAGAAAATTCAAGTGAGTGGGAACTATGAAACAAATATTGGTGTCAAAACTGTTAATTTTGAAACAATGCATACATTTTAAAATAAATTGCAGTATGTAGGATATTATGAGTAACATTGTAGAATTTTAAATTGATCCATTTGAGGGACACCATGGGGTCATACAGCCTAACATTCTCTCTGCAGGAGTCCCAATTAATGTGTCCCTGAACATACAACATAGAATAAGAGAGTTGGAAGGAACCTCAGAAGTCTTCTAATACAATCCATGCTCAAGCAGAACACAAATGATTGTCCAGTCTCTTTTTCAAACCCTTCAGTGATAGAGCACCCACAACTTCTGAAGGCAATCTATTCTATTGGTTGATCTTCTCACTGTTACAAAATTTCTCTTTAGTTCTATGTTTCTTCCCTCCTTGGTTAGTTTCCAACCATTGTTTCTTGTCTTGCCTTTTGATGCTCTGGATGTCTTCTCAGTTGTTGCATTAAGATAAGCAATGAAGGGGAGACTGATCTTTTCTGGTTCACTGACCCAGCTCTAAAAGTTCTATTCCTTTTAGGATTTTTCTCCTCATTCATTCACAATCTCTTCTATTGTAAATCAGTATTTTTGCATTTATGACGCTCTGGAATAAAAGTACACAGATCTTAAGTCTCTGTGTAACATGTTTTAATTACTGTAAGTAAGAACCCTGGTGGCACAATGGTTAGAATGCACTATTGCATGCTAATTCCTCTGACTGCCAACAGTTCGATTATGACTGGCTCAAGGTTGACTCCGACTTCCATCCTTCTGAGGTCAGTAAAATGAGGACCCAGCAGGGGTGGTATTCAGCAGGTACTGACCAGTTCTGACCAGTTCTGGAAAATAAGTATTTTGAGTAGTTCAGAGAACCGGGAAATACCACCTCTGACTGGCCCCACCCCATCTATTCTCTGCCTCCTGAGTCTCAGCTGATTGGCTGGGTCTTCTTTTGTTGCCCTGCACAGAAGAATGGAGCTGGGTAGCCATCACTGCCCTGGTCTCTCTCTTACATTCCATTCAGATTATTTTCAGACCATTTTAGTAAATATTTAAGAAATAGTATGAGCAAACATACAAATGTGTTGTTAGGAGATTTGTACTATAAGACTTGTAAGAGTCTCTTAATGTACCTTTTTACAATAATGTAGAATTAGCTTGTGTGGTTGTTCCCCATCTGGTCTACTTGGGAGAATATCAGTCTGGCAACTTTCTTTCTTGATAACTCCATGCTTTCTTTTTTCTCCCAAGACATTTATGAATAATCTCATTATTTGTTTCTTTATTCAATTCATTTCTGATGAGCTCTAAAAGCTTCCCTTTAAAAAGGCAAATTTGGTCAATTACATTTTGTCAATATGTTTTTTTTTTCAATATATGATTAACCAATTTGTCAAAGCCTCTTTCACTTTTTTTTAAAACAAATTTTATTGATTTTTTAAAGACAGACAAAACATAGGACGTAAAGGCATAAAACCTCCTTTCTAAAAAAATTACTTATAAGTTTTAACAAGGCAAATGAAACATTATTTTTTAAGGCATAGTTCCACATTATCACATTTCCATTTAAGCACATATATATCTTTTCCATATTTCTCATTATTTCTCCCTTCACTTTTATTCAATTATATTTTTTTCTATCAAGGTTTTATTAATTCTCAATCAAATATAAACATTTATACAGCATAGTTCCAAATTATCACATTTCCATTTAAACACCTATATATCTTTTCCAAATTTCTCATTGTTTCTCCCTCCACTTTTATTCAATTATATTTCTTTCCATCAAGGTTTTATTAATTCTCAATCAAACATGAACACACAAAATACAAAACATAAAACAAAACAGAAAAACAGAAAACCTTCTCAATTATCATTTGTACATGTCTTTTCCGAATTTCTCATTATTTCTCCCTTTAGTTTTATTTCTCCAAGGTTTTAATTCTCAATCAAACATAGCTAACCAAAATATAAAACTTCTTTTGAAAAGTGGCTTAGCCCCGGGTTACATCTTTTTTTACAGACCTAAATCAAATTCATGCTCACCTTATACACCATTCTTATCTTGTTTACCATTCTATATTTTCTATATAACTTCTCCCTTCTTTTCACTCTCTTAATTATATTTTGTTTATTTCATCTTATTTTAAAATCATTATACTTGTATCTTTTGTCCATTCTTTTCCAATTATCTATTTATCTCTTCTCTTTAACAAAAAAATTTCCCCTGTAATCACTTTTAAAGTGTGACGCCTTTCTATCTTTCCCCTAAAGTAACACTTAAAGTAATACATAATTTCCGTTCTGATTCTGCTTAGTACATTCTACATGTTGCATTTTAAAATAAAAATAATAATAAATTTATAATATAGTTAAATATATAATTTCCATTCTATTTCTAATTCTACTTAATACATTATTTTAAAATAAGAAAATGAAATAATAAATTTATAATAACATTAAAACAATAACGAATTAAGCTATAACTAAACATTAATCATTTTACACATTCTCTTTAATATTTTATTAAATATTGAGATCTATCATTATTAAACATTTTAATATTTTAATATTTTGTTAAATCTTATAATATTCCAATAGACTATTTCAAATGCAAATACTACAATACTATCTTATGTACTCTTGCAGAATCTTTCTTTAATTATACTCTATCCTTTATCTCTGAAAAAAAATCTGCTTTTTTGCATCTTGTTTCAGACCTTTGTGGCTTTTTCCCCCTTTTTCCCTCCCTTTCTTCTCCAGCCTGGTATTTTTGCCCCCCCTCTCCTAACCTCCACCTTTTTAACTTTCCCTCTCTGTTGTATTTCTCTTTTCTGTTGCTTTCTAACATTGTACCTTTTTTTCACCTTATTTTTCTTTTTCTTGGTTGTTTTATTAAATCTTAAATTCTCATTTTCCCTTCCTCTCTTCCTATTTTTTGTCCATTAAAAATGGCTTCTTCTTCTTCTTCTTCTTCTTCTTCTTCTTCTTCTTCTTCTTCT